TTTTAATTACAAACTGTCAACACGTGCCGCCGTTACGCCAAATCGCAAAACTATTCTTTAGCGAACGATGTGCTGCGCAGTTGAAACGAAGGTATATGAACGCTAATAACAAACTACGATAAAGTGTAATTGTATTTTAAATGCTTGTAATTGAATTGTTCTTACGTTCCATTTATTAACTATTCTCGGAGAATATAATCAATATATTTAAGTACCAAACTGGGTTATAAACATATATTGTTAATTGGCTAGCAATTATTAACATGTAATTATAATTTATTTAAATTACATTCAACTGTATATATTATAAAATAGCACGTTTCTATCATTGAAATAAACAAATGTAAAGGATTGCAATCATTTAGAATTACATTATGTATACATCTTCGCGCTTCCGGCAAACAATTAATAACATTGTATTACTTTTTTTCAATCCTCAACATTTTTTCTGACACAACAGCTAAAGCTGCAATCTTAACAGTTAAAAAAAGCAGTAAGTTCGGCCGGGACGAACTTTAAATAAACTCCACCATTTGGAACGAATTTGGAAATTTTCAAAAAATTAAATCCCTTAAAAATTCTGTTAACATTTTTAAAACATAGAATATAAAAAGTCGCGGTTATATTGGGGTCTATACGAAGATGTGGACCTGCATAGGCAACTTTTGTCATAAGCCATTACATTATTAAAATACAAAAATTTAAAAAAAATCCGGTGAATAATGTAGCTAAAATAAAAAAATACCGAATATTGGGATGTATCGTTATATGGGGGCTATACGAAGACCTGTACCCTCATAACAATTTCATGTCTCAGGCTCTATATGGAACTTCAAATACGAATTTTAAAGCAAATTGAACCTAAAATCGTCAAAATACCGAATATAGGGAGGTACCGATATATGGGGGCTATACGAAGATCTAAACCTGCATGGACAATTTTCTGTCACAGGCTGTAGTAACGATTAGGAACTTCAAATATGAAATTTGAAACAATTCCCGTGAATAATGTCGCTAAAATTATCAAAATATCGAAGGAGGGGCTATACAAAGACCTGGACCTGCATAACCGATTTTTTGTCGTAGGCTTTAGTACCCATAAAAACGCTAGATACGAAATGTGAAACAGTTACCGCAAATAATGTCTCTATATACGATATCATGGACATTTCTTTACAGACATTTCTTTTCAAGAGTGTAAAGTGCTTAGAAAGGGCTTCTAGTATGAATTTCAAGACGATTTTTCAATGGTCAATCATCAAAATACCGCATATGGAGGTACAATTATATAAGGAATTTACGATATCGTGGACCTATATAGACAATACTCTTCCCGGGAGGTAAAGTACTCAGAAGGAACTCCTTTGTGGATTTCAGACAATTTCATTGAAAATTGGCTACAATCATCAAAATACCGAATATGGGGGTACCGTTATATGGGGCTATATGATATCGTGAACCGATAAAGCCCATCTTCGAAATTTACCTGCCTGCAGACAAAAGTCTGTTCTCTGCAAAATTTAAAAAAAGAAAACAGTAAAGAAAGTCTTAAAGTCGGGCGGGGCCGACTTTATGATACCCTACACAACTTTGCTAATTTAGTAGTGCTCCACATAACAATTAAAAGTTTTTATGGGAGAATTCAATCATACACGCTATGATTATAATTATAATTTAAAGTTCAAAAGACTAAATATGCCGAAGCATTTGTATCTTTAAAATTCGGACTTGTATTGCCCATTTGATATATATGGGAGCTATATCCAAATCTGAACCGATCTTGATAAAAATTTGGCAAAGATATTTTTGAGCTGTATTTCATATATTTCCCTGAATATCGTTGTTACGGAGTGCATATTACGGCTGTGGGTAACAAATATAAAAAATCGGATGTACAATATATATGGGAGCTATAGCTATATCTGAACCAAATTTGACATACTAGCTTCTAGACTCAATTTTCATCAAATTTCATCCCATTTCGGCAAATATTAGACGTTTGGTGCACAATAAAAAGTAAATCGGGAGATATATCCAAATCCAAGCCTATCTCGATAAAATTTAGCAAAGGTATTTCTGAGCTGTATTTGATATATTTCCCCAAATATTGTTGTTACAGAGTGCATATTACGGCTGGAGGACTAAAATAACAAATCGGATGAACAATGTATATTGGAGCTATAGCTATATCTGAACTGATTTCGATCAAATTTGGCATACTTATTTTCAGGCCTAATTTGGTTGTATGTGCATACTATTCGGGCTGATATTACACGTTTGGTGCACAATTAAAGGGAAATCGGACGAAGATATATATGAGGCCTATATCTAAATTTTTACCGATTATCTCCAATTTCAATAGGGTTCGTCCTTGGGCCAAACAAATGTTGTTTGGAAAATTTCATCTCAATCGGATAATAAATGAGACCTGCATTTTGTTCACAAGAATACATGGACAGACGGCCGAACGGACATGCGTAAATCAACTCAGAAAGTGATTCTATGGAGATCCTCAAAAGTAACTATGGGTCTACCTCGTTTCCTTCTCCATGTTACAAACAAATGCACAAAGACATAATACCCTGACCACAGTGTGGTGTAGGGTATAAATATGAAATTGGTAAACGTTTCTTTACTCCTAATATTGCAGACAATATTAGATTCAGTGTGAAGGCTGGATATATTGGTTCATACTTTCTAGCATCTCTCACACAAACGGTCAAAATTTAAACAAATATAATTTATATAAAAATAATAATAATAATTCATATATAAATAAATTTTCATACTTTTGCTCATCACAATGTTTGGGGCAGTACGAAAGTGGAAAATATGCTATCATTCCTTCTGAAACCTTCAAAAATGTACACATTTAGAATGCTGTGGTTTGAATACTCATAAATTGTTTTTCCATTTTTTTACCTTTCCCACAAAGGCGAATTAGTTCTCTGAGTTATTTCAAACTTTGTACATTGTACAGAGAGACAGACTATATTAGTGCACCCCATCTGATTTTAACATTAATGCCTCTATAATTTCAAAATTGAGCATATGGCAATAGGTTTTATAGGATTAGCAAAATTGAGTAGAATAGAAGAATTACGTAGAAATGTTGTCTCTAAAAGCATGGTATGGAATTTGATGACGTGTGAATATATCTGCCTATGAAGAAAAATAAATTTGGATCATTCCCAATATTTGCTACTAAATATTTGGAATGATTCAAATGTGTTTTTGCATATGCTCATAGGCATATGTATATGTCAACAAAAACAATATCATGCTTTTAATGAGAACGCTTTTACGATTTTTTTCTTGCTAATTTTTTTTTTTCATTTCTCAAAATATTGGAAAATTGTTTTTTCTCTAATTTAAAATTAATATCGAATTTTGAATATTAAAAAAAAAAAAACAAGTAAGCAAAGGCTACAGTCGAGCGGGGCCGACCGTTGAATACCCTACAACACTACAATAAACGATACAGTTTATATAGGCGAGATACTCGAAAGATCAGGTTTCGTTCTCTTATTTTCGAATAATAGCAACTTAAACTAATTTGCTCATTTCCAATTTATTGGTAGAAGTTGCACGTAAATGGTCTTCCTAGATCTGGAACCAATATTTCCCAAAGACCCATAATCTCTCAGAAGTGGCAAAAGACTAAAATTTATTATTAGTTTTTGACTGAAACGCATCGATATGAGATACAGCCATTTGACTATATTCTTCAACTAAATCAGCGTTAACGAAATAGTCAGAAGTGCGTCTTTCCTGTATTTGTGAATTCTCCAAGAAGTCACTGTAATGGATATTTTCGTATTTTGTCTACAAAAGTTGGCAAACTATTTCACTGCTTGGCTTTTGCAATGTCCGGTCACCCCCATTCAAATATGCCTGAGGATCGGGCGAAAATTACGACCTTCTGACAATTTTGCAGTTTTTTGGTCAATTTCAACCCCTAAATATATGTCGATCATCTCCAAAAAGAGTAGGCTTCTATTCTGACCCTCATCTTATCCCCATGCAAAATTTCGTAAGGATAGGGCCATAAATGCGATTTGTATATGATATACTGATATCCTAACTACTTAGTTTTGTTAGCTGTAGAAATATTACCAAATGTTCAATTCAAAATGAAAATATGCCAAAAATATGACAAAATTGAAAAAATATGAGAAAATATTACAAAATCTATATTTTCATCTTTAGAGAGATATTTTTATGCGATTTTTTAGGCGTTTTTTCTTTTCTGCCAAGAGGCCATTCTGTATTAATGAGAACTGTCGAAATCAGTTACGCCGTTCTCGACATAAAATAGATCTTTCAAGCATATCTTCTTCGATAGACATATATATCACACATAGTTTGCTATATATCCGATTTGTTAGATGTTAACATCAATGTAAAGATCAGAAGTAACCCTGTCATGGCTTTGTGATTTCGCCGGGATTTAAAATATTCGCGGTTTAATGAAAAATTTCGAATTTTTTCAATACAAAAGATATGGTCTATTTTACCCGCTAAATATAATTCGATGACCACCCAAATTGGTAGGCTTCTTCCCCGCCCTAAACTCTAGCTACATGCGAAATTCCGCGTCGATTGGTCTATAATTGCGACCAGTATAGCTACTGCAAAATCCGACATTTTTTCAGTATTTGGTCCATTTCAACCCCTAAACATTTGGCGATCATCTCCAAAAGAAATAGGGTTCTATTCCGACATTAACCCCACCTACATTTTAAATTTCGTGAAGATCGGGCCATAATTGCGACCTGTAGAGTGATTACAAATTAACATGGACAGACGGACAGACGGACGGACGGACATACATAGCTAGATCGACTCAGCTCGGTGAGCTAGGAAGATCCATATATACTTTCCTATGTGGGAAACCAATATTTCGTGGTGTTACATAATTTTTGGCCCAATCAAACTTATAATATCCCCAACACATAGTGTTGTAGGGTATAAATACTTTTTGTACAACAGAAACTCACCAATAAATGCAGCAGCACTCATTACGGCCATTTCCACCGAGTTGGTATTGAAATCACATTTCGAAGCAATCGTTATAATACTCATGCCCATTGTTTCACAAATGACCATCATTAGCAACAGGCCACAGGTGAACAACATTAAATATTGTGTTCTACCAAAACCGATAATATTCAAAACATCTTCATAACAGAAATTCTTCACCAAATCCTTTCCCACCGAGCCATTGTTACTTTGTATCGATAAACGAGATTCTGAAATCCTTTTGATATTTTCAATATATTGGGCTTGAGATTCTTTGACGGATGCATCTTTTTCTGATATCGACATTTTTTTTTCGTTTGTAATTTTTATTTTCGCTTTAATTTTCTGTCACATCAAATTGCCCGACAATTTCAAAAGTACCGCATTCGTTTCGAATTCGCACAAGTCAAGTGAAATGATAACCCGTCTAATCGCACCTGTGTCCAAAGCAGACTGTTCAACCACCTGCCCATTTACATTAGAAGAAAGCATCAATGCGGATAGATCCACTAACCGAATGTTGACACGCTTCGTATTGTTTGCTGGCTGACTGGCGACAGCATGGTTACGATTGGCTTTTCTTTTGTTATGCTGAGAAATGCCATCATCGTAAAGAGCACGACAACAACGACGACACGATGAATGAAAACTTCTTAACGCCTGTTTTATTTCCAACCGAAGCTGATGGGTGGTGGAAGGTGGTAAAATTCGAAGATAAAGTTGTGAATAACAACACTGTTTATTAATTACTCTCAAGTAATTTTCAAAAAATGAATACATCCCCCGTAATAATAATGGATATGAAGCTGAACACTGGTTCTAGATCTTCTGCTGAAATAGAAGACGACTAAAACGTATTCTGCAAAATGGAAGTTATTGTAAAAGCACCTCGATTGAAACTCAGCAAAAGTACTCATTATTTTAACAAGAACATTAAATAATTACTTATTTTTTGGTCACTAAATAATTACCTATTTATCAACGTTTCCGATAGAAAGTTGTTACATAAGTACGAATTAATTGACATTTAGTGACCACCCACCACATAGTTTGGAGGATATATTAAGTTAGTCGTTCCTCGAATTATCCTTAAAAGTATATTTATTCTTGATCAGCAATGTCTGTATATTTGTCTGTCTGTACATCAGACTTTCTAGTTTTAAGCCGATATGAAGAAGGTTGATAAAATTTTACTCGGATGTATTTTAGGTCTTCAGGATTTTTGGTATTGAAAATGGGTCATATGGGTCCACGTTTTGGCATAGCTCGCATATAACTGTACTGGCAGATTTAAGATGTTTTGGGCATTTAAATCACAATTTTAACGGAATTTGTTGTGAATGGTTAGAGCTGTCCATATACAGGGTGAGAAAAAAAAACAGCAACATCAGCAGAAATGGTTCGAAAAGTAATGAAGCGACTTGATCGACTCGAAACCCGCGTCGCAGTGGCCGAAAATTGGCTCGAGAGAGGAACATATCGCAATATCCCATTCGGTAAATATTGAGAAATGAGCTTACACTGCAACAGAAAGAAAATAGACACAAAAGAGCAAAAGAGTTGCTTCGCTTGGCCGAAAGTGGTGAACTGCCGAATTTGGTTTTCTCCGATCAGGGAACATTCGTTGTCCAGCAGTTTGTAGACAAACAAAATGATCGTGTTTATTTGCCAAAGAGGTTAGCTGTTAATGTGCACCTTCGGTTATCCACCAGAAATCAAGCGCCGGCCATGGTAATGGTGTGGGCCGCCATAACAGCAGATGGTCGCTCTCCGCTCGTATTTATCAACCGTGGCATCAGAATAAATGAGGAATATTATCGCGAAAATATTCTGGAGGCTCGCAAACATTTTGGCACATCGCACTCAGCACGCACCAACCAAGAATGGTTACAAAATGAGGTTCCTTATTGATTTCCAGCGCACAATGACCACCAAAATCTCCGGATACCAATCCGTTGGACTATTGTGCCTGGAGTATTTTGAAAAGCAAGGTTGGCACTAATAAGTACCAAAGTGTCGATCACCTTAAGCAAGCACTTCGCCGGGAATGAGCCAAAATACCGCAGAGCAACATTCGGACAGCGTGTGATGGTTTCATTTGCCGTTTGAAGGCCATAATTCGTGCCAAAGGTGACCAATTCGAACAAATCTAAACTTATTTTAAAATTTAATGCTCTTTCCGACATTTTTTCATTCAATAACATTAAAAAATTACCCCGAGCTCATTTTTCAATATTTGCCGAATGGAATATTTCGATGTGTTCAGCTCACGATCCATTTTTCGGGTTTTCCAGTTTTTTTATCTCACCCTGTAGGTCTAAGTTTTGGTGTAGTCCCCACATAACTGTGCCTCCCTATATTCCGTATATTCACGACTTAAGCCTTTTATTTCTACGGCATTTTTCCGAATTTAGATTTTGAAATTCGCAACGAGTATACTTCACACACTACATACAGATCCAGAGTTTTGTATATCCTCAAATAATGGTACCTTTTTATATTCGGAGTATTCAATATTTGATTTTTTACATCTTATAGTTCTTTCTAAAGTGGAGAGTATTAACATTTCGGTCGGATATTTGTAGGTACACACTTGCGCCCATGTTAAAATTAGATTTTAGGTTTCTGTCTTGTATCTTTTTTAACACCTCAAGAACGTTTCGAGTTTTGTTTCACTGTCAAACATTTTCAGGTTGGTTCATAATATAATCATGAATCTTCTTAAAAACAAACAAGGCTTGCAAATCATTGAATTTTATTATCTACTAGCAAGTCCCCGCTACATCGTCAGTCAGTCAGTGGAAAGTCCAACTTCAAATTTTAGATTCCTTTAACAGTTCGTGTTTGTTCAATTTGACAACAATTTGTAATCAGAACTAAATTTTCAGACTTTCAAGTTTTTATATATTATTCAATTCAAGTGTTTCCTTTGTCAAAAAGAATAATTAAAAAATGTTTACCTTTTCCGCCAAATTTTGAAAATTTTTCATTTTGAAATTTACCGAGGAGGACATTGCACAATGGATCCACATCCAATTTTTCTGTCCAAAACTATTTCAACGTCTCTATATGTAACCATAGAAACAAACAGTGTTCTCAATATCAAATTTCAGAACTTATAGATCTATCCCTTCACCCAATACCAAAATTAATAAGATTTAGTACGCATATACCTAACAACCTGCATCTTTCCGTCTTAGATACCAAGAGTGATCTAAAATTAGTACAATTTAGTACTTTTCGCACGCATTTGCATTTTTAGAACATATTTTTAAAACCACCTACATATCCCAATTCCAGATACTTACAGAGATTTCAATGTCAAATATGATGATTCAAGCCCCATTCTCCCACTCCATACAAAATTGAGTACCATTTAGTACTTTCCGTACAATTATAGTATATATTTCTGAAACCATATACATATCCCAATTCGAAATAGCAACAGAAACTTCAATGTCAAATTTGAGGCTCCCAACCCTATAACTTCATGAAATACCAAATTTAGTACCATTTAGTACGTGCACTTGTATTACACATTTCTTGAACCACCTCTTTAGCACAAACCTAACACGAACAGGAACCCCAGCACAAAATTCCAAGATACCAGCTTCATTAGTTCACCCTAAACCAAACTATTTCAAATGTAGCATCATTTAGTACAGTTTGCATACTAAGCACACATTTAAAAAAAACCACCTTTGTATATCAAAATTAAATTCTAACCTTGATTCTCATTTTAGTTTTTGGTTACAATTAGAAAGTTTAGTACTTTTTTAGAACTTTTTGTATTTTTGTACATATATTCTGCACTCCATCAGTGACTCTCATTCCAAATTTCAGACTTCTAGCTCATTCTGTTTGTCCAATAAAAGTATTCAATTTGTAGTACATTTTAGTACTTATAATAATTTCTAAAATTTCAACCTTACCACACGCCTACGAACCGAGGCCGGCTTTCAACAAGACATGCCACACAAAACGCTGAACTAAAGCTCATATCTATACGCTTCAATTGACGCATTGGAACACATCATTGCAGCATTTATTCGTGAAAAACTTTCCTATAGCTGTTAAAAATCAACCTTTATATGTATATCCTACATATTTTAAATATCTATCCGTTTTGCTCGATTGTGCCCACAGTGTAGTAATGATTTGATTTGGTTGTTAAGATAATTTCCGGTGCCTAATAAAATAGGCATGTATTTCACAGATAATCTTTCAATGCCTAAGATAAAAATACTAACAACTACTAGGCTGCTTTTATTAAGATTTCACCTACCATTCGCATTGAAGAAAACTAGAACACAATATCCGAGGCATAAATTATATGAATCAGAAATTCAAGAGAAATTCCATAGAACTCGAAACAGAAGTCGTAGATTGAAATGAAGGAACATTTAATTATAATTTTAGCACTTTAATTTAATATTCCAAATTAAAAGAAGTTAAAAAGTATCAGTCAGTTTTGCCGACAGATGCCATAGCTGACTACAGCTATGATTATTGAAATTGTTGACCCTCTTGGAGTGGGTTCCGAAGGAATGGGCCAATATTGTTAATTATATATCAGCCCCAAAAAAATATGATATAAATTCGACTTTATTGGTTACTTTATATGAGATATGTGATAATTTTTAGAAAAATCGCTGACTTTTTTTTCGCATGTTATGACAGATAATAGCATTAAATGTGGTGGCCCTTTGTGGGTGAGGTAACAGAAGCAGTTCGCAGATATATATTATCTTCACAGCAGATCTTGTGTTAGAAAAAATGTTTGTATGTGTGAAATTTGAAAAGAGTTGGATGCCTATTTAAAATTCTTTGACCGCTTTGTTTTTCAAAAATTTGAACCCTTTATGAGGGAGCTACCAGAATAAATGGTTCGATCTCTACCATCTTCATAACAGATCTTGTGTTGATGGAAATATTGAGATGTACCAATTTTATTAGCTTCATGGATATACAAAATGTTAACCCTTTGCGGGAGAGGTGGACCGATATAGGAGGAGTCCACCGATATATTCCATCTTTACACCAGGTCTTGGGTTAATAAAAATATTGTGATGTGTAAAATATGAAGAGAACCGGATGCTTATTTGGTTTTTATAACAGATTGAGATTTGTTAAGTCTGAATGGAATCGGATGTTAATTTCGCGTTTTATGAGCTTCATGGATATTAAAATTTGACCATTTGTGGGGGAGGCACCGGAAATAGGGAACTCATGCATCCCATCTTTAAATTAAACCTTGGATTACTACAAATATTGTTATGAGTGAAGTTTGAAAACGATCAGACTCTTACATCACACTTTATAAGATTTATGATTATTCAAAATTTTGACCCTATGTGGGGAAGGTACTTGATGGAGAGGACCGATATTGTCCATTTTCGCACTTGACCTAGGATTCCCAAAGTTGGAGCCAATCATATTATCTCCTTCCGTGCAGTAAAATATTTATTTATATATTTTTTTTTTAATTTCGAGGTACCAGCAGCAG